GAAGGGAGGGACGCCTGTGGGGACAGGGAGCGGGGGCCGTGAGGGCAGAGCCGGGGGCGGGCAGGGCGGGGATTGCGACACCGGTGACGAGGCTGGGGGGGGTGTGGAACACGGAGCGGGGAGCTCGCCGGTTGCCACGTCGGAGATGGGAGAGGGATGAGGATGGGGAAGGGGAGGGGGTGCCGCAGGATCCGCCGTGGGGTTTGGGGACACAGGAACAGACCGCGAAATCACGGGGGCTGGGGCAGGTGGGGCAGGGAGGCAAGAAGGGGATAACACACTCTTCCATCCCACAGGGGTTTAAGGTTATCCCCATTTGACTGTAACAGAGGTGAACTGCCATGCTAAACATGAGAACCTAGTTCATCCCAGATTTTTCTATCAAACAGACTAATAAAGCACATGGTAAGGGGCCAGGGAGGAGAGAGGCATTGCTTGGTCCTGCTGGATGGTCCAGCCTAAACCAGTCGCTTTGCTGGGCTGGCTGAAGCTGCTGGTGGGGTTTGCTTTCTCTGGTGTAGGCTCCACAACTCGGCTCACGGCTCAGCACCTGAAGGCAGCTGCTGCTCATTCAGGGGGCACGGCCATCAGATTTGTCCTGAGGAGGGACCCCAGCAGGGGCCAGCTGCAGCTGACCACAGCTGGTAGTTCAGTCCAGATCTCTGCCAAAGGACCCCTCCAAAGTTTCACCCAGGCTGATATAAACAAAGGTGAGTGCAGGGTTTGAGGCAGTCACAGCAAGTGTAAAAACAAAGGCTGGTTTAGGTAGTCCCGTGAGGAGTAGGAAGTTGGACCTGATGATCCTTATGGGTCCCTTCCAGTTTGGGATATTCCATGATTCTGTGATTCTTTATGAGAGAGGGAGGGAAAGAAGTAAGAGCTGTTAGATTAGAGCAGAACCATGTATCATTAAACAAATATTAAAACAGCTCTCTCAGCAGGAGAAAAAGAATGAAGAGAGAAAGTCGTGAAACCCAAATTCTGGAGCTCTGTCAAGCCCCAGGTGCCTCAGCTGATGGGGTCAGCCTGCTTCCAAAGTAAGAATTAGAAGCTGCAGCCTGTAATGAAGCATCTCTTTTCTGCTGTCCCTCTCTCCAGGACATGTGGTGTATGCCAGCCACAGGAAAGGGGATCCCGGCGGAAACTTCCCCTTCACCTTTGATGTGATGGATGCAGATGGCAACAAACTGACGGACCGGGTTTTTTACATCCATGTCATAGGTAAAAGGCAGTTATGCTTTCTTTGCTGCAGCGCTCAGGGCTGCTCCCAGATTCCATCCCACATGTACTGCAAGGCGAAATGTAATTCTTGAGACTCGGTTTTGATGCGCCGTCAATTCCAAGGCCTTTGAAGTGAGGGGCACGGGGAGATTTTGCAGATGTAAGGGTTCATTCTTTGGCTTCTGACAAACTCAGTGAAAAGGTAGAAAAATTCCCCTTAATATCTTTCACATTTTGTTGAGATCGTCTATAAGACATTATAATGTTATCAACCCCGATCAATGGCAAGGCCTAAAGTTCCTGGTTTGGAATTATCAAAACATTTGTGCGTGTGTTTTGTTTTCCTGCCCAAGTACCCACGGGAAGAAGCATCTCCTAACTCAGCTTTGTGTTTAACCCTTCCAGAGGACAGATTTCCCCCCTCCATCATCACTAACGAGGGGCTGGTGTTGGATGAGAACTCGGCAAAGACAATCAGAACCCTCCAGCTCTCGGCCACTGACCAGGACAGCGAAGCCTCCCAGCTCCAGTTGAAGGTCACCTGGCAGCCACAGCTGGGGCATCTGGAGCACGTGGCTTCCCCAGGTGAGCTGGGAGGTGTTGGGCTCTCACAGCAGCAAAATGCTGGAGGCTTTTGAGCCCTAAACATTCATTGCAGGAAAAACATGCCCAGAGGCAGCGACACACAATTCCAGTTCCTGTTAGAAATCAAAGCTAAAATAAATGAGCCCAGAGGGTTGGGGAATAAGGTGAGTGGAGGCAGAGCAGCCCAATAATCCCAGTTTAGGATTTATTCAGCCTCTGGGCCAGTTTCTGGCCCTACTGCTGCTTCTGCAGTAGGTTTTCCTTTTCTCCCAGGAAAACCTTTGGCCTTTGCTGTGAACAGCAAAGAATCCATCCCTTAATGTCCTTGGGAACGGCTCATCTTGGTGCACAGACTGTCCTCCTTGGTGCTTTCTGTCCTCCTCTTGGCCAGTATGTCCCTTGATCCCTAAAGCCCAGCCTGTTTCCCTAAGCTGTGCTGTGGAGAGAGGAAGGGAACCGTCTACTGAGTTTAACAGGAAGCGATGTTGGGGTGTGATGGTTGTGCTGGATAATGAACTCTGGTTGTTCAGGGAAGGGGGTTGGTCAGTTCTGCAGATGTGATCTGAATTTCAGAGCTGCCTTTCGTGCCTGCTGACTGTGTGAGTGTGCTGCCTCTCCCTGATGAATTAATCTTGATCTGTGGTGTCATAAAATACGCTCTTCTGATTTTATTATATTCATCTAAGGTTGTATTTCTTCTTAGCTTTAGATTTCTCGTTAACCTGAGATGAAAGTGGAAATATCTGCTCTGTGTTTTCAAGATGCAGACAGTCCCTGTACAGCTCAGTTTGGGTGTGTGGTTTGCCTCATCTTCTCACAAAAACATGTTGAAAGGGCAGGAATAGTGAATGAGTTATAATAAGCAAACTACTCCCTGCTGTGAGAGTAAATTAAAAACTTGCAGTATCTTTGTCTAAATTGCAAACTAACCAGCGAATCTTGTACTTTGGAGACTTGAATTAAGGGCTTTATTCCTCCTGTTATTTAAAATCTGATGATGATTCTGATTTCTCTGCTTTTTCATGTCTGTGAGGGACCAATAAGGCTACAGAGTCACAGACTGAGAAGTAGCTGTAATGATTTAAATGACCTAAACCTAAGGAGAGAGTACTGAAGTGTTCAAAAGAGAACCCAAACCTTTCCAGCTGATGAGCTCTGAGGAAATATTAGCTGATCATTCCATTGTGGCTCATTTATTTAAATCAGATCCTGGTGTCTTCTGTAGTGTGGCCAGCACTTGTCAGCAGCCATTTAGTGTGATATATTGGTGGCAAACTTCTTGTCAGGATGTTGGTTGACAGCAGCAGTAAAAACTGTTGAACGCAGCAAAGAGATTTAAAAATGCTTAAGTGTTTTTTAAAATGCTTGTCAGGTACCTTTCTGTGGCTGTGTCACACCTAATGGGCTGTAAAGATGTCACTATAAATCAGTGCTGAAAATGGGACTGGGTACTAAATGCAGGGGTATAAGGAAGGGCAGAGAGAAGAGATCCTTGGAAGGCATTTTGGAAAACTGCTGTGAGGCTAGGAGGCCTTCGGTTCATCCCCAGTGATGCCACGGTTGGCTTAGTCCTGCCCAGCAGCGACAATCCAAGTGTTACATGGACAGTTTTTCTCCCAGCTTCTCTGCCCCAGGAGGCCCACTCCCAACAGGAGGAGATGAAAAGAAGCCTGGACTTCTTTTTGAGAAGGAAATTTTAGGAGGCTCTGTGCCAGCTAAATCCCTGGCTCAGCTGAGGGTTCACGGGGCAGCCTGACTTGGATCAGAACCAGCCAAAACCGAGTCCTCATGCCTAAATATGTCCTGCTTCCTGTAGTTTTTCCCTGCCTTGCTCTTTCTGCTGCACATTTCCTCCCTGTTGTTCATTTTCCAGGGACAAGAATTAGTTCCTTCAGCCAGGCAGACTTGGCCTCTGGCAGCATCCAGTACATCCACACCAGTGAGGAGGAAAAGCACACGGATGCCTTCACCTTTTCTGATGAAAAGAAAAGGTCTGATGTCCTGAAAAGTGAAAAAGAAAAAAGAAAAGTGAAAAAGAAAAGAAAAAAGAAAAAGATGAAAAGAAAAGTGTCTGATGGGACAAACGAGGTCAGTCCCAGCCTGACTTTTGCCTGAGTGGGCAGATGTGGCTGTTCCTCCTTCACCTGCTGTGGGATTTCCCACATCCCTCAGGTCAGGAAGGCAGCAAGGCCTGTGCAGGGAACAGGAACAGGGAACACCTGCCCTGTGGGCTCACCAAGAGCTGAGTGCCTGGTTTTCAGCTGCTTGCCAACTGTTCCTGGAGCTCAGCTTTGATCCAGTGCACTGACAGCGTAGTGACGACAGCCAGCCCCTGGAGAAATGCCTTTTTCCTGCTTTCTGAAAGAGAAGAAGTCTAGCTGCGCATAGAGGGAGAGGGGCAAAACAGAGTGAGAGAGGGAGGGAAAGTGGATGTCCGTAAATATCACAGAAAGAGGGAGAATTAATGAGTGGGGAGGGATAAAGAAGTGATCTGGGCTTAGCAGCTCAGACAAGGCTGAAATGAAGAGACCCAAACTGGGGATCGCTGTGCTCTTGCGGTGAAGTCACACTCTTGGAAGGCTGAATTCGGCAAGGGAAGCTTTTCTTCCTGTCCCAGGTGAGCCAGACATTTGACATCACCATAAACCCCGTGGATGACTCCTTGCCCATCGTGCAAATCTTTGGGATGACAGTTCAGGAAGGGGTGAGAAAAACCATCACGGAGTTTGAGCTCAAAGCGACAGATGCTGACACAGAGGTAAGGCAGGACCACCCCCAGCCTCCTTGCTCCCCTCTTGTGCTGCACACCTGGGCTTGTGTTTAAAGACTTAACGCTGAATTTATGCTCAGCATGGATGGAAATGGCACTTCCTCTTCTTCCTGGGTCTGGCCAGAGGCTGAGCTGTCTAACATTGGCTCTATCTCACTGCTGTTTCCCCTGCAGCAAGAGATCTGGCTGCCTGAGCCAAAATCCTGCCCCAAAGGTTTTTGCCCTGGCAGAAGTGGCAAGGGACACACTGCCCGGAATGGCTGCAGGACTGGGGGCTGCTCTAGTGTTCGTGGATCAGGCACAGGGGTGGGTGGGAGCTGTCTCAGACCAGCTGAAGCAGGAATTCGGTGGGATGTGCCTTGTTTTATAGGGAGACACCTACAAAACAAAATCCCT